CTCTTAAATAGTTTATCAATAACTTTTCAGGGTTCTCTATATAGATTGGTATTTCAATGTTAAAGCAGAAGACCTTGTCAAAGTCATTCTTCTCTCGAAGCGTAACTAACATTGGCATTCGAGCATATTGGTAAGATATCTCAAGTTACTAACCTCGTAATGACTTTGCAGTGAGATAAAAACAAAAATTACATGTCTTTATTAGGACTACGACTTCTATAAGGCTTCCATCACCTTCCACAGGGAAATCATGGGCATACCACAAACTAGTCCATAAAAGCTACTTTGCTAAAAACTGTCGTATTCCTAACATAATTCGCAATCTTAGTGAAGGATTATCGATACCACAATCGGAAAGAAAATCTGTCGTAACGCCATCAAAATCTCTTACTCCTATGAAGGACAGCTTAGGCAAACAATAGGCAACATCCTCTTCAGAAAGACCACAACGGTCTCTTAAGAAAGTATTCCAATCAAATGACGAAGACAAAGAACTCGATGCTGCGACACTTCGTTCCACTTGCATAGCACTTTGAAGCTCTTCCACTTGCATCCTATTCTCCTCATTGGTTCTCGGTCTTATATTTCGAGCCACTCTTGAAATAACATTTGATTGCTCCAAAGGCGAAACATATTCATTGGACATCGACTCAAAAACAGTTTCACACCATACTGAAAAGTTTTTAGAAAACTCTCCTCGGTTTGCTTTCCCAATTTTCCTCAACGTTTCGACATTATCTCTTCCCAAATATACTTCAAGGTTCCTTTGAGAAACAATTACCAATTGCAGACATGATCGACTACTTTCATTCAAAGTTGATCCCGAAGAATGTTGAGTCACAAAACCACTTGCATCTTCAACAATATTATGTTCTTCGGTAGAGAAACCTACAGATTGATCATATCTAGTACATACTACCACAAACTGAAAACGAAGTTGAACAGATGAAAAAGATTCGTCATTCAAAACGGAAACAACTCCCTTAAAAAATTGTTCGGCTTCCTCCTCAATATTTGTTTTCGAAAATTCAGTTTTGTGATAAAATTTGAATGAAAATCCAACAACATAACGTGTTTGTCCATTATGGAATACAACATATGCATCAGGACCACTAGAATTGCCATCTTTTGGAACAAAAATACCACAACGTTGTAAATAATCCCTATAATGATCAGAAAATGAACCAGAGACATTTCTCAAGATGGGTATATCATTAGATTTTGTTGATTCCATAGAATAAGAAACATTGTCCTGTTCAATAAAAGAACCCTGGAAAATTCCTGGAATAGCAGAATGTACAATAGGCGAGGAATTAGAATGAAGAAAAGTTAATAAGCGAAAGCGAAAGATCTTCATAAATACAAATTCAAAGAAGACTCCTTTTGCTGTTGAAGTGTCGGGAATATAACTAAACGGAGATAAAGGAAAAAGTTCAGTAGCCTCACGGAAAAATTTATAGTTGCTATGAGCTCGCAATATAAATTCACAACAACCAATCTTGAATTCCTCGCCCAAAACTTCAGAGTAAAACCCAAAAGTTGCAACCAAATCCATCAAATAAGTTGTCGTTCCACATAGAGTAATTGCAAAGTTGATTGGAAAAACTGTCCCGAGCTGATAATTGAAAAGAACAAATTGATATCGAAGAAGGGTTGCAGAATCTAATATCTCCGGAACAATAAACGTTGTTGTCTTTCGTACTACAGAGTGAAAAATATCATCTAACACACTTTCCATATTGTCATCGTTGATAGCAGGATGAGATAAGTTTGCAACTTTCTCTACTAGGGCTAATAAAGTATTCTTTACAATCAACGGAATACCCCCTGTCTTCTTTTTTAATAATTCTGCGAATCGATGTTGCAAGCCATCTGAGGGCAATAACCAGTCCTTCAAGGTCTTTCCACTATAAATTGCCAGCTCAAGATATTCATTAATATCGTTGAGGTTAAAAGGATTCAATCGCAACATATCGAGGCTCATGCTACTGGAGCGAGCATCAGACAGGCGGGCTGAGATTTCGGCAGTCCGACCTGCCAAATAGACAATTACCTTCCCTGTAATCAAAAAACTACGTAGAATGCGGAAGAAATTCCGGAAAGGTACATATTTTGGGTCAGACTCGACGAACTGTTTCGTGGTAAGTTCACTATACTATGCGGTGAGGTCACTTAGGTGGCTAAGTTCGTCTATCATCAAAAATAAATATCGTTTCTGAAATTGTTCGAGAAGATAATCAATAGCCCCTACAATATCAAAATTCTTTACCGTCCTTTCAGCTATCTGAAGAGCGTCCGTATCTTTACCATTTTGTCGGTAAGCGTTCAAAATTATATTATACATCAAAGCCTCTAGAAACCTTGGAAAAGGAGCACGAGAAAAGCTCTCTTCTAATTGAAAGCAAACTGACAAAGTGTTTTCCGCAAAGTGTTTCCAAGAAAAAATCTTCGCATCAACTTTTCCCGACGAGCTCTTGTTGAAAACCTCCGTCTCCGTCTGCTCTTCTTCTTCGTCGGCGAATTTTTTTAAAAACTCTAAAAATTTTTGACCTACAAAGCTTTTGCCCGCCCCAAAAATGTGAGGGGAGAAGCAAGCTCCAGGACGTAAAAGATCTAATTTTCCCCCAGCTGAAGAAAACTGGTCGTAATAAGTTCGAAGAATAGAATAAACATCTTCTTTTCTATCTATCAAAGGTTCGTTCAAACTCATTTTACACGCCGCCGCCAATCCGAAATCAATTCACAACTAATGAATAAATCAATGACCGAAAAGCTTTCAAAGGAGATGGAAGAGAGTGTATGTTTTATTGTTCGAGAGATTGCTTTATTTGGTGATTGGTAAAACTGATCTCTTTGACACTTCCAGACTCACAATGACAATAGAGAGAAAGCAGGAATATTTTCTTGCTTGTCATAACTAGAAACTTTCTTTTACAATAGACAAGAAATAGGTTTCTATGAGTTTTTGTGGTGAATTAGATTGATGGGTACTCTTTCTATGGCTTGTATACTGTAAGAGAGTTTTTCTACTATCTTCCACACCATCTTACACGCAAACTCCTATATACAAGTCTAATTAGATACAAGCTTTTTGTAAGTTACAGACGAAATACAGTGGGAAACAGAGAATTGCAATGAATGGGAAGTCTGTTAGTTTGTAACCGTTCGTAGCAGAGTTTATAAATACAAAAATATCTAAATGAGTTTGGAGAAGAGTATTATGTAGACTGTCATACTGACTTATCATTAAATACAAGCCATTATTGATGTAATAGCTACACAAGTTGTCTATCCTTTGTTCGACTTTTACCAAGTTGTGAATATGTCTTATATAAGGACATCAATTAAGGCTTCAAATGTAGTCACTATAACCGTTCATTTTCTGCACATCGATGCTGAAAAAAGAGTAAAAGATTGAGCCAAAAAAATAATTTTGCTAAAGAAGAAGCCTTTTATACTTGAGTCAAGGTCGAGTAGTGTACTAAATTGAAAGCTTCAGCAATTCTCCAACTGAAAGCCACTCCATATTGAAGAACTTTTACCCAACATGACTCTTGACTGAAATACGTTGTAGTTCCTAAGTTATCGGTCAAGTGATTGTTATGGAATGACAATACTTCAAGATTGGATATGGTTTCCTTTGACTAATTAGAAACAATTATGTTCCACTCCCAAAGTTGTCCTTTGCAATGCAATATAAATAGAACTCCTGTGTAAATAGTAATTTTCTGAAACAGAAAGTTCTTATCTCAGTGTACAAATGGGTAGAATCATTTAAGATGTCTCTTGTACTATCGATAATTGAACAAAGTTTTTCATCTTTGCAACCGGGTTACCTTCCTTATCTGAGAATCGGTGAGTTTTCAGTCTAATTCACTAAAACAGAGTTTGAATATATAGTGTCGTGAATACTTTTGAGATAGAGTTTGAATTGCAAACTAAAATACTCTTTTTAGTATTTCTTCTTACCTTTACTATATTTTCTCTTGGATCCAACAAGTTTCATATTTGTGGGAGCCATTCATATGAATTCCAAGGCTAGAAATGCAGTTTGAAAAAAACACATAAAAACGAAAGGAATCTAAACTTTTATCGAATTTCAACAAGCTAAAACTCTTTTTGAGACCGCAGTGCAGGTCCTCAAGTTGAAGCCTCCAGTTTTTGCTGCCATTCCCTTCGTTTGTTTTCTAAAACCGAGGAAAACTCTCTTCTATTCAGTTAACAAAAGATAGGAAGGACAGTCCAAGTGAAATCTACAAACAACCTTTTCCGTTTCAGTCTTTGAGAATTATATAAAAGGAGTTACTGTTCTTTTTTCAACAGACTAGAAAGACAACATAGCAGACACTTTAAGAATGTTTTGAGATATTCTTTCGGTAACCACTTTACTAAGTACTTGGACAAGAAAGGATATTCTTCATTTTAGTTGTATTCGACATGTATGTATGTATAGTCTATTCATTTTGAATCATTGCTACAACTCTGCAATATCGCAAATTGACACCAAAAATAGCCTTCAAATGAAAAGCTTTTAGTTTTGAAACATGTTCAAAGGTATCTCCGAAATATTTGAAAGATTGCACTAGTGTATTGATCGAATCATTCTCCTGCACACAAGTGCATATCATCAATATCCAATTTCTGTGAGAGAA